GTGCTAGCTTAGAGACTCATGTTTAGCTGGCTTACCTGCTTATTTGCTTTAACTGTGCTATTTGTACTCTGTGAAGCATGTTAGGCTATAATTTGCTACTTCGTGTCCTGATTTTTAGCATTTTTCCGAGATTTAGGAATCGTTGTTGTTGTGAGTTTAATTTGGGACTACGGGACGGCTTCCTGGGAGATCCCTCTGTACTTGAGATATTATGGACTGAGGGTGCGGGATACCAAGAGATCCCTGGCACATGTGTTTCTATATATATATTGGGATACCAAGAGATCCCTGGCACATGTGTTTCTATATATATATTGGGATACCAAGAGATCCCCGGTTTACTTATTGAGGATACCAAGAGATCCTCGGGATACTAAGAGATCCCCGACTTACTTATTGAGGATACTAAGAGATCCTCGGGATACCGAGAGATCCCCAGTGTTGATGATGAGGATACCAGTGTTGATGATGAGGATACCAAGAGATCCCCCGGCTACTATTCCTTGTGAGGGCAGTTTTCCGTGTATTGTTACCTTTGCTTTCTATTACTGTTCTTCCTTATTTACCTGGTTTAGATTCTCGCTGTAGACTTTATTTAAACTATTTCTGTTATCTCATTATTTATTATGTTACCTCAGTAGGGCCCTGACCTTCCTCATCACTACCCAACCGAGGTTAGGCTTGGCACTTACTGAGTACCGCTGTGGTGTACTCATGCCCTTCCTGCGCATGTTTTTCATGTGCAGATCCAGGTACTTCCTCCCAGACGTATCATCCTCGTGGTGGAGAGTCCTAGCTGAGACTTGAGGTATATCTGCTACGTTCGCAGACCAGGAGTCTCTACTCTATTCCGGCTTTAGCAGATAGTTCCTTTTCTTTCCTTTCATGTTGTTTAGACATTCTGGTGTAGAGCAGTTTACTACATTCTATTAGCCTGTGTTTCCCGTGAGTTTCCGGATTTTGGGATTTAGTTGTAGACTTCTGCATATTTTGAGTTGTATAGGCTGAGTGGCCTTATATACAGTTGTTATTTCCGTATGTTCAGTTTTAATTTATTATTCCGCAAATGTTAATTTGTTATTCCGCACTGTTAGGCTTACCTAGTTGTAGGAACTAGGTGCCATCACGACATGTTCATGGAGGGTGAACTGGGGTCGTGACAAAAACATCCCAAACACATAGCAATCTTCAGAGAAAATATGCTGAAAATTTTCCAGCCGATAAATACAACAAACACAGAGCAATTAGAATACATATATACATCTGAATACATATATTATATTAAAAAAAAATATATGAATACATTAAAAGAATACAACGAGACAACGAATACAATGAAATACATGGAATACAACGAGATACATTGAAATACAATAAAAAAACGACAATGAATACATGGAAATACAGCGAGATACATTGAAATATAATAACAGAAAATTCAAGTTGCTCAGCCCCGAACTCCGTCGTCTTTGTTCAAGAACAAACCTAATGTCGTCTCGCTGTCACTGTTGCCTCCGGTTGCTGTTGTTTTGCCAGAGAAAATTTCTATATTGGATGATTGCTCGGCAACCCAAAAGTCTTCGCCGGAAAACTTTAATTCTGATGCTTTGCCGAAGAGTTCTGGTAGTAAGATGAAGGTGGAAGATGAGAGAGAGAGAGAGAGAGAGAGAGAGAGAGAGAGAATAGATATGGGGTAGGGGATGGATTTGAACGTATCCCTTCCTTCAACTGGATGGAGAATAGAGGAAGCATACATTAAACGTATCCCTTCCTTCAACTGGATGTTTTTGATGCTTTGCCGGAGAGTTCTGGTACTAATATGAAGGTGGAAGATAAGAGAGAGGGGGAGAGGGAGAGAGAGAGAGAGAGAGAGAGAGAGAGAGAGAGAGAGAGAGAGAGAGAGAG